TCTCCCCTGAAGCTTCTGGTAGGCCCAAGGAGGCTGAGCCTCAAACCAAACGAATTGGCCCAGGGCCACGGACAGTTACCTGTGCCCAACTGCTCACAGCCTGAGTTGGGCCTATGCTGCGAATCTCGCCCAGGGCCTGACTCAGATGCATTCGATAAAAGGAATCAGGGTCTGGGCACTTCCAACCAACTGGCGCTGCGCAGCTGCCTGAATTTGCCCAGTTGCGAAGTAGTCCAAAATAGGCCTCTTAAGGTCCGTCGGGCCTGCCTTCACTTAGGGCGGCCGACGTTGTTGTAAATAGGGGCCCAGTAGGGCTTATCGAGGCCTTGTGCCTCGCATTCCCTCCTCCATACTTCGCTAGTCCTCTGAGAAGTTTAGTCTTCGATAATCTGGCGCTTTCCTTTCCGTAGAGACTTCTCATAGTGAGCGACTACCTGTGGAGTGGTCTGCATCAGTTCCTCCCTTGTGAACCATTTGTCCTCCTTTGGATCAGTGTGATGTCTGAATCGAACTCGATACTGCATCTTCGGTTTTGGAGGACGTCCTCTGCCTGTTGGTCTTGGAACTGGCATCTCCCTGTGGTCAACAATGTCGTCGATGTCGACCTCTCCATCCATGGTTGGGGGCAGCATAGAGCGACGAAAGGGAAACTGGTCAGTTTCTTTGAAGGTGCAAGCTTGGAGGCGTGAAAGACAGGGTAAGTGCGGAGATGACCAGGGATCCGAATGACATAAGATGGCCCATCCGGATCTTCCCCAACTACATCTAGAACCTCCCATGGTCCAAAGTACTGTGGCATGAGCTTACGAGAGATCCTGTACTTCTGTCCCAGTTCTGAGGATTTTACCCAGACTTTGTCCCCAACCTGAAATGCAGAAGGACGGCGGTGCTTGTTCTCAGTTTCTATCATTGCCGCCTGTGCCTTGTGCATTTGTTCTACCGCCTATTGCATCAGTTGTTCGTAGCGATAGGCAAACTCAAGGGTGTCGGGTGCAGCAATTGTCTGATTGTCAGGTAGCAGAAAGTCTAGGGGCAGTCTGGGCTTAAAAGTCAGTAGCAAACTGTCAAGACTTCTCCAGTTGCGCTGTGTACAACATTGTTATACAGGCTGGCGATGAGAGCAAGTTTCTCATCCCAGTCCACCTGATTGGGCTTGATGTAATGCCGCAACAGGTGTTGAACAGCGCGATTGAGTTGCTATGCTTGGCCATTAGCCTCGGGATGGTTCCCCGAAGTCATCTGTAGCTGTGTTCCCTGTTCGGCAGCCGCAGCCTTCCACAACTCACTTGTGAATCGGACATCTCTGTCACTAACAATAGACTTTGGGAGCCCAAAATCTCTACCCTGTTCTCTTTGAAGAGTCTAATCACATACTCGGTTTTCGTTGTCTCTGGCATTGCAACTAACCTAGCGTACTTACTAAACCTATCCACGATAACAAAGATGTGTCTCATTCCACTCTTGCTGGTGACCAGCGTGTCCATGATATCCATAGACAGACTCGCACTAGACCTTTCCGGAATTGGAAGGGGCTTGAGGAGCCCAAGAGAGGCCTGTGTACGAGGCTTGTCTCTTTGACAGACCTGGCAAGTCTCCACGTACAGCTTGGCATCTCTCATCATCGTGGGCCACCAGAACCGTTGTAGCAGATTGGCTACAGTCTTCTTGAAGCCAAAATGTTCGGTGGCATCGTCACACTCGCCTAAAAATAAACTACGCAAAGACTCTTTATTTGGCACACACAGACGTTTATTCCCTTCCTTCTCAAGGAACAGCAGGCCGTTGACCAACTCAACCTCGGCAGAAGTGATTTTATCCTTCGCCTCGAGTCTGCGAAGGATCTCAGACATAAACTGGTCCTTGCGGTAGGCTTGCACCATAGAGTGAGTAACATCGTCCGCAAACCCAAACTCAGTGATCCGCGCACCAGAGAAATCTGGTCTACACGGCAGCGCAGCAGCAACCTTATTGTACTAGCCCTTGATGTACTAGGGCTCAAAGTCATACTGCGCTACGACTTCAATCCAACGCTTCAGACCGTTGGAGAGCACAGGTTGGGTTCTCATCCACTTCAAGGTCTGGTGATCAGTCCTGACGTAGAAGAACCTCCCAAGGAGGTGGTGCCTCCAATGGGTGAGCGCCTTGTAGATCGCATAAAGTTCCTTCTCATAGGTGGACTTAGCCAACTTCTGAGAGGGCATCTTTTTGGGCATGTACTCTACCGGCCTCAACTTTTTCCCCTCTTGCTGCGCAAGTACGGCGCCTATACCATATTGGCTAGCATCCGTAGTTATGCAATCAGACTCGACTTATTCACACTTCATCATGCTTGCAAACAGCGATACAGAAAACTGGCGACATGCGCCCACACAGTACTCAAAGATATCGTAACCAGATATGAGTTCTCTTCCAACTGGCTATGGCGACTGTGCGCCCATACAACTCACTGTTCACACTCGAGATCACCCTGGATGTCCCACACGCAACACTCTGTAACGCCACGCAACACACACACACACACACTACTATAGCTATGGCAGCTATGGTTGCCGCTACCCTATCGCTACACTACGCTTCACTGCCCTCTTCGTCTTCGGGCGCACTGCAGACCTCCTCGCACAAGCTGCTGAGGCAGCGCTTCCGCATGGCATCCGCAGGAATGAGTGAATGGCTGGACGCAGCCTCTTGATTTATACTTCTGTGCTGCGTTGGTCTGCCCTGTATCCCTTGGCCTACGATGTGCACACAGTCCCAGACGGTACTTGCTGGACAGGACCGGACTGACTAGCTGGGATTGTTGACTCAGCAAGGTGGTCTAACACCACTTGACCACTTGCCTCGGTTGTATGCAGGCTAACTCCGAAAGGCCACTTCTAGAAACTTCTGACTTGGCCTTTCGGTGTTGTAGCAGCTACGACTTTGCCCCTTCAGGTAAGTAGCTGCTACGACCTTGACCTTTCAGGCATCCTACAACGACGACTTCGGAACTGTGTAGACTCCTACCCTACAAGTCTACAGTTTGATTCCCTTCTAAGCTGTGACCTACGACAATCTACCTACCACTGGCGTTTCGACAGGTCGCAGGCTCAAATCTACGGGTTAACATCAATACTGTACACAGGTAAGATGGGGAACTAGGGGTCGAGCCCTGCGATCTGCATTCGCTACTGCGAACTGGTGAATACCGTTTCACTCCCGCCGGCCTAAATTCGAGGTCCTCCGAGAAAATTTCAGTCCAAGGCAGGAGCTTTACCCTTCTGCAGTCTTTCGTAAGCCCGGACTATATCGGGAGCTGTCTCTAGAAGTTCAGATCTTGTAAACCAGCGGTCGTCTTCCGGTTCCTGATAACTAAAATGAACCTTGTATTGTTTCTGCGGACGACCCCTACCTCCAGTTCTGAAGACATCTTCAGCCACTATACCATCTATGTCATATCTTCCATCCATATCAGGTGGGATCATCGATCTACGGGATGGAAACTGATCACTTGTTTGAAACGGTAGCAACTTCGATGCGTGGAAAACTGGATACGTGTGGAGGTGTGCTGGTAGTTCTATTGTATAGGACGGTCCATCTTCGCCGCCTTTGACTTCCAGAACAGGCCACGGTCCTCTATATGTGGGCAGTAACTTCTGCGAGATGTTCTCCTCCGGCGCAAACTCTTTAGAACTAACCCAGACTAAGTCGCCTACTTGAAACTGTGAAGGGCGACGATGTTTGTTCGCTTGCTCTATCATCCTATGCTGGGCTTTTTTTAGGTTCTCTACGACAGTAGCTAGTTCTTTCTCGTGCTGCACAACAAACTCCTTGGTCCCGGGCGGCAATCTCTGAATCTGATCCCGGTTGAGTCCCTCAAACGGTCTGCGCGGCCTAAAGGACTTGTGCAGTTCGTTGGGAGTGCGGCAGGTGGCTAGATGCACGTTGTTATTGTACGCACTAGCTACTTTAGGCAACATCTCATCCCAGTTAATCTGATCTGGCCTAATATACATGCGCAGAACTTGCTGTAGAATCTTGTTCATTTGCTTTGTCTGACCGTTAGTCTCTGGATGGCGGTCGGACGACATCAACAACTTAGATCCGTATACTCCCATGAGTTCTTGCCAGTTCTGGCTAGTAAAGCGACTATCTCTATCGCTAACTATAGACAGTGGGATTCCATTCTCACTAACCCAACAGTCAAAGA